ATATATATATTCATACACGTATATATACACTTATATATATGTATATGTATGTGTGTATGTATGTATGTATGTCTGTATGTATGTATGTATGTATGTATGTATGTATGTAAATATATACATATTTATATCAGAGTGAGGGGGCCGAACGGTCATTCACTGTCCCTGGGTGCGTGGCTGAAGTGGGATCTCGCGGTGCGGATTCTCGTTGTTGTTGTTGTTGTTGTTGTTGTTGTTGTTGTTTGTTGTTGTTGTTTGTTGTTTGTTTGTTGTTTGTGTGTGTTTGTTGTTGTTGTTTGTTGTTTGTTGTTTGTTGTGGTGTGTTGTGTAGTTTGTGTTGTATTGTTGTTGTGTAGTTGTTGTTGTTGCCCGCGTCCCACCGCAACCCACCCCAGCGACCCACCCGCGACCCACCCCACGACCCACCCGCGACCCACCCGCGACCCACCCGCGACCACCCGCAACCCGCCCCGCGACCCACCCGCGCCCACCCGCGACCCACCCCGCGACCCACCCCGCGACCCACCCGCGACCCACCCGCGACCCACCCGCGACCCACCCGCGACCCACCCCACGACCCACCCCGCGACCCACCCGCGACCCACCCGCGACCCACCCGCGACCCACCCCGCGACCCGCCCGCGGCCCACCCCGCGACCCACCCGCGACCCACCCGCGACCCACCCGCGACCCACCCGCGACCCACCCGCGACCCACCCCGCGACCCACCCGCGACCCACCTTCGACCCAAACCACGTTCAAGGTACAAACCACAATTTTCGGCGCCTGCGGCGGGCTTTTTTGCATTCCTTCCAAGTGGAGAGCCCGCGACACATCCCGTGACCAACTCGCGACCAACCCGCGACCCAAACCACGTTCAGGGTACAAACCACATTTTTCGGCGCCTGCGGCGGGCATCTTTTGCATTCGTTTCAGGTGGAGAGCCCGCGGCCCACCCGCGACCACGTTCAGGGTACAAACCAATTTTTTCGGCGCCTGCGGCGGGCATCTTTTGCATTCGTTCCCGGTGGAGAACCCGCGGCCCACCCGCGACCCAAACCACGTTCAGTGTACAAACCAAATTTTTCGGCGCCTGCGGCGGGCTGCTTTTGCATTCCTTCCAGGTGGAGGTGGAGAGCCCGCGACCCACCCGCGACCCAAACCACGTTCACTGAACAAACCACTGCCGCACAAGCGCGGCGGCGGATTTTGCATGCCGTCTGAGCCCGCAACGACCTCTTCAAGCCCCGCGCATCCACACCAGCCCGTCCAGCAACTTTGCCCTGGCGAGTTGCCTTGATCAGAGAAGTCGGGGAGCATAAAGTGGAAAAACAATTGCGTTGCTGTTATCTTGGGAAAGGAGGGGGAGGCAGGAGGAGTAAACAGGGGACGAGGAGGACGCGAAAGAAGAGAGGATGTAAGGAGAATGTGGAGAAAGAGAGGAGGAGCAGGAGGACGAGGAGGGGGAGGAGGGGGAGGAGGGGGAGGAGGAGGACGAGGAGGGGGAGGAGGGGGAGGATGATGATGATGGACGACAATGGGAGGACGATGATGGAGGCCGATGAGGGGGTGGACGACAATGGGAGGACGATGATGGAAGGACGAGGGGGGGAGATGGAGGACGAGGAATACGAAGAGGACGCGGTGGAGGAGGAGGATGACGATGACGATGACGACGAGGACGAGGACGAGGAAGAGGAGGAGGAGGAGGAGGAGGAGGAGGAGGAGGAGGAGGAGGAGAAGGAGGAGAGCGCCATCGACAGGGAAGGTGGGGGCCACGAGGTCCGCCGGCTCGACGACGTCCGCGTCGCCCGCGCCCGCCCCCTCACTCTTATCCGCAATTGCGGGGTGCTATGCGTATACTGTGCGTATAGTTCTGGGCCTCGGTTCCTCCCTCGGTCGCTGTTTCTCCGCCGTGGTGTCTTTCCCTGGCCCTCGCTTCGTTTTCTTTTCGGGCCTTCGTTCGGTCCCCGTCCGTCGCTGTGGTGGGCTCAAGGGAGCCAGCGCTGGACTCTAGCACCCACATCCGCATCAATTCCTTGGCTGCCTCCAGGAGTCGAAGAAGAGAAACCAACAGCTGAATAAGCATAAGCTTTCGGAGCCCCACGCGGAGCTCCAAATGCTTCTGCTTCTGCAGGTTTACCTTCTTTTCCGTGGAGGCGTTCCGTCGCCACGGCTGGGTCCGCCTCGAAGCACGGGCCAGGATGGACCCCCCGAGGGAATGGGGACCGACTCCGAGCGGATGGGGGCCGGGCGGGCCTCTCAGCTGGCCCCCGTCCGTGCCCCTCCCTCCACCTCCACCTCCCTCCTCCTCCTCCTCCTCCTCCTCCACCTCCCTCCTCGTTATCCTCCTCCTCCTCCCTCCTCCCTCCTCCCTCCTCTTCCTCCCTCTTCCTTCCTCGACCCGAACGCGCCGGCCCAGTCGTGGCCAGAAGACACCTCCGTACCCACGGCCGCGTGGGCCGCGACCCCGGGCCGCGGCCCCGTGGACGTGGGGCGCTCTCTCGCCGATGCCCCGCGCGGAGCGTGTCGGTGCGCCCGTTTCCAGCCGGCCAGCTCAGCTTTCGGCTTGCTCAGCTCCAGCATGCCAGCAGTGAATCCCTTAGGGCTTGTCGACTTTTCGCCAATCGACTTGTGAGAATCGAGCCAGATAAACCCAGGTAAATGCAGATAAATCGAGGTAAATCCAGGTAAATCTAGATAAATCTAGGTAAATCCAGATAAATCCAGAGATCTCCAGGGAAAGTTCGAGCACTTTGCGGCCGCTCCAGCGCGAGTCGAAGGACGGCAGAAGTCGTTAAGCCTTTAACGAGTGAGTACGGTTCAGTTGCCGGGCTCTCTCACCCATCGCCAGTGCCCACTGTCTGCTTCCGGCGGTTCAGGGATGCCCGCAGGATCGTAAGCGTCACAGCTGGCTAAGAGTGACTTGCCCTGTGTCAGAATCCCGTAGTGGCGCAGGGGCGCCCTACGTGGCGGAGCTGTTCAGCAGTGCCATCGCCCCTCTGTTCGATCGGGCGGGTGGCGAAGTGGTTCCTGCCTGGGGGCGGAGTTGGGTTTTGGATTTTGGGCGGGGGTTGGGGGCGGGTGGGTCAGGTGAGCATTGAATCAGCCGCCACGCGTGTGGTCGCCAGCCTGTTTTAAAAAACGTTGCTTGGAGGTTGGACTCCTTCGAGGCGTATGCAGAGGGAGGCCTGTGGATTCATCTGTGGGTTTGCTGGAGACGATGACGAGGTGTCGTACTACCTCCGGGAGTCTGGGACTCTTGGGGCCTTCTCGTCAGTAGGGCTCTGTCTCGGTCCGTTCCTGCTGATATCTCGTTTTGACTGTGCATTGTGCCTTCTGCAGAGAACCGTTGCGCTCTCAGTTTTGTAGTAGCTTACTTTTATGCTCATCGCTTGTTCTCGCAATTCGGAAGTGAGCGGGTTAAGGCTTCCCCACCCCGAGCTTCTACCTGCCTGCTCTTCCGATGCCCGCGTTTACAATTTTCAGCGCAAAGGTGAGGTGGTTTCAGGCTCGCGGTGTGTTACGATGGATGAAGCCCTGTGGGCAACCTCGACCTCCTCCTCCCTCCGCCGCTGTCCTCCTCCCTCATCTTCCCTCCTCTCTATCTTCCGTCGGCCTGGTTGTGCCATTGGGCTTCCTCAAGAAACTTTGCGATCGTCAGCCCGTCCACCAGCAGGCAAGATCTTATTGAATCGCTTCGCTCATTCCGCCGGCCCGTGATATGGCATCGCTGGTTTTTGTCTGTGTGTTCGTTGCCCATGTTGCGCTCTTGGGGGCGGGTGTCGTTCGGACGCGTTGCGTGGGGAGTTTTGATGGTGAAGCAGTTCCCTGGGGGTCGTCTCTCGATGGGGCGAAATAGAGTCGTCGTCAAGATGCTTCTTTGGGGGGCCTCTTGGGGTCTGTTGAGAGGCCGTTCGGGGGCGCCTGGGAGACATGTTTGAAGCCTTCTGGGGCTTCTTTTGGGCCTCCTGGGAGTCTCCTGGGGCCTCTTGGCGACATCTTGGGGCCTCTTGGAGGCCTCTTGGGGCCTCTTTGGGACCTCCTGGGCGCCTTCTGGGACGGAGGGCTCCATTTTTGAGTTCTCGGTATCCCTCCTGAGTCCCTCTTGGGCCCGTCTTGGGGCCTCTTGGTCCGTCTTGGGCGGCACTTGGGCCGTCTTGAGGGCTCTCTTGGGTCGTTTCGGCGCCGTCTTGGGAGCTTCGTGGGCCGTCTTGGAGCGGTCTTGGGGGCCTCTTGGGCCGTCTTGGAGCGTCCGGAAGCCGAAAAAGCCAGAACACAAAAAACATAGAAAAAACAAATGAAAATCAACGATTTTGGCCTCTTGGGGCTCTCTTCGGAGGCCTCTTGGAAGGCTCTTGGGGCGTCTTGGAGGCCTCTTGGGCTGTCTTGGGGGCCTTTTGGGCCGTCTTGGGGTCATCTTCGGCGTCTTCGAGCGCTCTTTGGGCGTCTCGGGGGCCTCTTGGGCAGTCTTGGGGGCCTCTTGGGGCACTCTGAGCGCGCTCTGGGGAGCCTGAGAGGCCGCACCCAGAAGGAAAACCATCTCTGAGTAGACTTGGTCGGGCGGCGGTCGGGCGGCGGTCGGGCGGCGACCGGGCGTTGGTCGGGGTACTTTTCGCCGGGGGACCCCCAGGGGCCGCCCCGCGCGCGCGAACTAGAAATACTGTTAATACTGTTAACCAGTTACCGGAGATCTTAGCACGCCCTGGCCCGTTGGGCCGGCGAATTTCGCACTTCCTCTGCCGCCTCCTCGTTGACTGGTGGGTTTTCCTCCTACCTGAGGGTGTGCGCACATGCTTGCGCCCCATCAGGACGGCCCGAATCCACCAAGGATGGATTCCGTCCCAGCCCAACCTGGCCATTACGGGGTAGGCGCAGCATGTTCGATGTCGTCAATTGTAAGATCCAGCCGTACGTGAAGAGGGTACGAATGGGCGGGGACGTTGGACGGGTTAAGGAAGGGGGGAGGGAGAGAGGGATAGGCTGTGCTGCCACCGCCCCAGGTGCGGCCCGAGGACTTCTCGGCAAGCGGGGGCCTCAGATGGAAGGAATCGGAGATGGTTGGCGGATGGAGGTTGCAGGGAGACGACTGTGAAGGTCATGGTGACGGTGTTGATTGCGATGACGGTGCTGATCAGGATCGTGACCACGATGCTCATGCTTGTTGTGGGGGCAGGAGTAGGAGCAGGAAGAGGAACACGACGGGTATATGATGTAGCGGAGGAGGGACGAGTACGAGGGCGAGGACGAAGCGGAATCTGACGGCAGCGGGCACAGAGACGGAGTTCTGCGGCGGGCGCGGCCGAGGCTGCAAGCCCCAGCTCTGGAAGGGCGCTTCCTCCAAGGACCGGTGCTGTCGCTTCCCTGCCGCTGAGGTGCGCGGCGCGGCCGCTGGCTCGGCCGGGTCGCGCCGTGCCCCGCGCGTAGCTGTGCTGTGTTGTGGGCGCCTTCGGATGGTGCCTTCGGGTCGTGCTCGGCATTTCGATCTTGGGGCCGCCTCCCCCCTCCTCCTCCTCCTCCTCCTCCTCCTCCTCCTCCTCCTCCTCCTCCTCCTCCTCCTCCTCCTCCTCCTCCTCCTCCTCCTCCCCCCTCCCCTCCCTGAGATCCAGAGAGGAGAAAAAAGGCACCGATGCCGCTGCCCTTGCCTCGTTCACCACCCACCAAACCACCCTAACCCAACCCGAAGGCCTCGATTTGGTCAGGGAGCATTCAAGAAACGTATATGGAACCCGTACCCCCCCCAAACCCGAAATTTGGGCCTTTGGGTTGGGTTGGGGTGGTCTGGTGGGAAGTCAGGTGGTGCCTCCGGGTATATGGACTTCGGCTGGCCCCTGTGGCCATGGACCGTGTCAATCCCGACGGCGCATTCGCTTGCAAAAAGGCGTGGGTTGTCTTGTGGGATTGATGCGATCCGGGCACAGTGGTTCGGACGCGGACCAGGAGCCTCTTAGATGCCTCTTGGCGCCCCTACTTGAGGCGCCTCTTGGGGGCTTTTTGGGAGCTTCTGAGTTTGGATATCTTGGAACGTGTGGGGTACCTGTTGGAACGCGTCTTGGGTTCGTCTTGAGGACCTCTTGAGATCTCTTAGGGGCCTCTCGAGGATCTGGGGCCCATCTTGGAGAGGAGGCATCCGGCGGTATGGTCTGTCGGTGGCACGTCTTTTTGGCCCCTCTGAGAGCCGTCTCGGAGGCCTCTTTCGCCCTTCTCAGGGGCCTCGGGGGCACGCCAGCAAGACGGCCCCAAAGGCTTCTAAACTGGCTCCTGGGCGGTCATTCCGATATTATTGTCTAACATGAAGTTCGAGTTCCCAAAAAGCGCTGCCGTGGTCGCTGGAAAGTTCTGGCGACGAGTTTCGAATCGTCCAGAAGTGGCCAGCGATTCCCGAAACTCGTTGGATTTGGGGCGTTTCGGCAGCATCTATAACTTTTGACGACTCGAGAGGGCCGTTGGACATTTCACTCAGTGCATATGACATGGTGGTAGGTACATAGCGTGCAGCATCTTCATACATGCCCTATCCAAACTCGCTACCTCCATCCGATTCGCAGCCATCCGTTATATGTGTCTTCGCCTCTATCCCATCCGTCTCCGTGACGTCCGCCACCTGCGCCCTCCTTCCATTCGTCTTCTCCCCGTCACCCTCTTGACCCGCCCGCCTCGGACGGGCGGAAGGGAGGGATGGAGGGAGCGAGGGAGGGACGGGACGGGTGGCCGTTCCTAGCCTCCCTCGGCCTCGACCCAGAGTTGCTGACGCCCACATGCGGTCGGCATGGGGGTCGATCGGAAGGGCTTCTCGGGGAGGGTGCTGGTCGAGGACCCCATGGTGGTGACGAGGGTGCCGTAGGTTCTTGTCATGGGCGATCAGGGTGCCCAGGAAGGTGTGTGCCACCGCGCGGGTTGGATGGAGGAAGTCGGAGTCAGAGGCAGGGCCGCTCTGGGCATGCATTCCGAGGCAGGTGCCGCCTGCAGCAGAGTCGGCCTCGCGCAAGAGTGACCTTTCGCCGGCGCGGGCCCGTTGGTGTCCCCCGATCTCCGAACGTGGTGCTGCGACAGCAGCGGCTTGCGCGCTTGGGTTTGCCCCCGCCCTCTCCCCCCCCTGCCGCCCCCAGTCGCACACCAAAGGTCACTCTTGCCTTGTTTTTGCGCTGCTCTTCCTCCCTCCTGATCCCCTGGGCTACCCCACCTCTTGCGCCAGCACGAGTTTTGCTCACTTTACGTCCCTGTGGGACGATCATCGGGAGCTCGCTTCGTCCCCTCAGCTTCCCGTTTTCGATGGTGATGATGATGCTGCTGCTGATGATGCTGCTGCTACTGCTGCTGATGATGTTCATCATGATGTTCATGATGCTGCTGATGATGATGCAAATGATGATGATGCTGATGATGATGATGATGATGATGATGATGGTGATGGTGATGGTGATGGTGATGGTGATGGTGATGATGATGATGATGCTGATGCTGCTGATGATGATGATGATGATGGTGGTGGTGGTGATGATGATGATGATGATGATGATGCCCATCATCATTATGAACATCACCATGACAATCATCATCACCAGCAGCATCATTCATCAACATCACCATGAGCATCATCATCATCATCATCATCATCATCATCATAATCATCATCATCGTCATTATCATCACAATCATGATGAACATCATCATCATCGTCATCATCATTCGCAAGTTGTGACTTCAGAGTCACCCGCGCAGCCATGGGAGATGCCGCGCCAGAGTGGTTCTCGGCCTTCGTCACAGGACAGTTCGCTGCATTGACGAAGACGGTCACAGACACGAACAGCCAGCTGACGGGCCAGATCAAACAACTGGACGGACGGATGGCTGCACTCGACACCAAAATACAACAGATGGAGATACGTATCCAGGCTTCAGAAGAAGCTATGAAGACAGCATCAGTGACAGCCTCCAGCACGCTTGGCACAAACAGGACGAAACGGGCTAGAGTGGGTATGACAACTGGGACAGACACCAGCGATTCATGTAGAATGTGGGTGAGTGGATATCCACGCGCTGTTCTTGCTGCCGCGAGACAGACGACCTGGCAACAGCTCCAGCAAGGAGCACCGATCCACCTCATGGACGCAGTTTGCAAAAAACGAATCAAAGTTTTTCCATCCACTTCAAGAATGAGGACACGGCAAAGAAATTCAAATAATGGTTCATCCAGCAGCAGCTTCACTGGAAAGATGCGCGATATGGATCATGTCATGCTCTACGTATTCGCACCGACCTCCCAGATGACGTCCGTCACCGACAGAGACGCATGTCACATTTATGGGCGCCGATCGTTCAGTTTTTGAAGAATAACAACAAGTACCAAGCCGACTACAAGATCGGCGCAAACGGGTCCCGCAACGAGTTCTTCATCCGCACGTCCGATGGCTTATTCATCTTGGCAAGAGGTGAGCAGGACGGGCTCGGCAGGCTGGTGCCCAAACCCAACAAGAGCGACCTCGCCTTCTGGGGCATTCCCGTAGACCAGATGCAGCAGTGGATTGACGGACGTGGCAGTGCACGCTGATGGTCTCCGACACCAGCTTCCTCGGTGGCACGCTGCGCGGGGACGACAGCGGACATTGCCACGAACACGGACTCGCAGATCACATGCTCATCGTCTCCATGCTTTTCGTCCACGTCGAGCGCTTCTTCTTCCTGCTCTTCTGACTCTGTTCACGATCTGGCTAGCCAGTCATACGATCCCCATTTTTTGCAGCCGCTGCCGCCTCTGACTGTTCCCGGCTGGCCCTGCGGCCAGCATGCAGTGCACCAGCAGCCTTTTTTTCCCCGCCTCCTCGCTTGATATCGTTTCCTGGAATGCACCTGGTCTCTTCGGCTCGGTGCGGACCCGTCGTCAGATGAATGCCTCGATTAGATGCAAGAAATCCTCGGACTGTGTAAGCGCCACAAAGTTCTTTGTGTTCAGGACACTCGCGGGACTATCGCCGACGCCAACGGTATACGACAAGAGTTTCGACGTGCGAATGTAGGTTGCACTATGTTTCAGGACTCCATCAGGGCTGGGGGGCTTGTCACTTTCATCGCTGCTGATCTTGCTCAGCAGTTCCATACCATTCAACGCCATGTGATTCAGGGCGGCAGGATGCTAATGAGTGTCATGTTTGGGGGACAAAGGGAACGTGGCTATCATGGGTGTCTATGTGCCGAACACGTGCGGGTCGCTAGCAGTCTATGCATCCAGCCTTGACGAACAACTTGAGGTTTTACCGCCTGCCGAGCAGTGTTTTTTTTCAATAATCTTGGGGGGCCGGAATTACCTTGGAGGAGGAAGGGAGGAAGTATCCTGACGGGGCGGGTTGGCCCCGAGGTGACACGCGTTTTCCACGCGCTCTTTAACCAGAAGTGCTCGGACTGGGTTGAATTCTTTCAAGCAGATGACACCTGTCGGGAGGTGAGGGGCGGGGGCATTGCCCACGCTGCGCGTTTAGACCGCATCTACTCCAACATTCCAGAGGCGGTCGAGGCTAACCCACTATTCGTGCTTATGTGATAGGTGAGCTCTGTCAGGCCCGTGTCTCTGATCATATCCCAGTGTTGGTCGTAATTGACACTTTCAAGCCCCCCGCTGGCCTGAATTGCGGGGTCCCCAACTGGATTGGCAAGAACAAAGTCTATCAATAACTACTTGGCACGGAGCTTAACAACGAAGCCGTTGAGCTTCATTCACTGAATGCTGTTGATGTTCTGACGGCTGTTGAGGCTATCATGTGCTCAGTGGTCAAGCGCGCGGCATCTCGTTTTCCAATCAAGTTGCCTCGACATGCATTTTGAAGCGTCACTGGTGCATGGTATCCCTGAGGGGGATGCGTGCGCAGCAGGATCACATGGCGTGCAAGGCTGTCAGTTGCTATCCCGAGCTTCAGAGGTTCTTTGACTGCGAGACCGTGCCCTGTCACGACCGCCATGGTCTTCGTGAATTGACGCGGAAGATTTATGTCAAAATTCAATTGAGGAGGAGGAGGCGATTGATAACGATAACAGCACGAACCATGGTACCAAGGAAGCTGCACTAGCAACACTACGGAGGAGGATGGAGCTTTGGAGGACGTTCAGAAGGCGAGCCTATCTCACTGCCGTACTAGACGCTAACGGAAGCCCGTGTACTACACTCGAGCAGTCGGTCAACGTGCTTGCTGAATATTGGGGATTTGTTTCCCGCCAGCTACGGGCGATCGTTCCAGGTGGGCGGGCATTCTGAGACATGTCCAGGTTCATATGGTTTCCCAGGGCCTCGGGGTGTCCTGGAAGGTTGAATATGGTACCTTGTTTTGAACATATACGACACTGTCGCGCCTCGATGCCTGGGCCAGACGGCGTTCCATATGCGTGCTGGCGAATTGGAGATGCGCCGAGGTACCTCTGCAATTTTTATCTTGGGATTATCAATGGAAGTGCCCCAGGGCTGCCTGGCGATATGGGGGAGCTACTGATGGGTTTCCCACCCAAGGCAGGAGGGGGGCGGGACAGGGAACGCCATTCGGGATGCAGCATGCACGCGCCCGCCCTCCATGTCTAACACCGATGTGAAGATCCTCTCTGCTGTGTTCTGCCACCCATTGAACGAGCTCTCTAAAGTGACTGCCGCCCCCCTCCAGAAGTGTGTTAAAGGTACACAAAATCTCATGAATGTAGTGCAGGCAGAAAGTTGGGGGCTGCAACAAGAGTTGCTCGCGCGCGACTCGGCTGCCATCCTCTCGACTGATTTCTCCGCTGCTTTCCCGTCGGTTCTGCGTGTTTGGATGTTTGCCGTGCTCAACGCTATGAATGCCCCCTCCTTCATCACTAACTTCTACTTCGTGCTCTATAAGAATAACCAGGGCGCGGTAACTCTCGGCGGGCAGAAAGTCGGGGGCTTTCCTATCCGGAGGGGGGGGGGGGGGGGGGGGTGGGGGGGGGGGGGGTGGGGTGGGGGGGGGGGGGATGGTCAGGGCTACCCTAGCTCTATGGCCCTCCTCTGTCTTTGCATTGATGCTGCATTGCGATGGATACAACAGGCCCCCCCACCCATGTTGCTCTGTGCCTTGCATATGCTGGCGACTGTCTTTTTGGAATGGTGGATGTCTTTCGCTCGACTACTGCCGCGTGGCGTTTTCGTCCTCGAGTCAGCTATTGAGCTGGCGCTCAACTTTCGCAAGTACACTGTTCTGATATGTGGGAGGGTTGGGGAGGAGGTGGTCAGTGACATGATGTCCAAGGAGGCGAGGGGTTTGGAGTTGGTGGGGGTAAGTTCTGCTACCATGTACTTGGGGCTGTATGTTGGCCCAGATGCTGCTGGCGTGGCATGGGGTGCCCCGCTGTCGGAATTTCCCGCAAGATGTGCGATGCTCCGACAGCTCGCCCTTGGATATGCGATGGCAGTTTCTACCCTGTTGGTAATGTGCCTCTCTGTGCTCCAGTTTGTCCTTCAAGTTGAACCAGTCACGAAACAGGTCATGCGTATATACAAGCACATGTTACAATGCCTTACGAATGGCCTATACAATGCGTCCTCGTATAACATGCTGGTCTCGCTCCAGAAGCTCGGGTTCAGTATCGAGTCCCCAGATCTCGTTGCTCTCTCGCGTGCCTGCCGCGCCCGTCATGCTGCGAAGTGTCCTGGCTTTCGCGAGTGCCGGGGCGAGCTGCTGAAGCTCACTGAGAGCAACGCAATATGTGATGCCAGGGTTGTCGACCCACGGGGGCGGCATCGCAGAGTGTCCAGAATATTGTGCAGCATTCCGATCTTTCCCCTGATACTCTCCAACGGAAGCTCTACGCCCGTCTCCGCGCCCTTCCTCTTCCTGGACCTACGGTGTTTGAAGGCCTTCAGTATCGACTGAGAAAGTGGCTGCCTGAAGTGGATTGCAGTAGTCTCCCCCATCTTGTCCTTCAAAACCGACGTAACGCAGCAGCGACTTCCCCTCGCCTTGCTAGGTGTGTTCTTCGTATCTTCGCGCGTGCTGTGTGCGTAGTGCTCGCTTCCACTCTCATCCTCGCGGCTGTATCTTTGGGTGTGCTCATCGGGAATATGGGTCTGATATGTCTCGGGACTATGATGATCTACGTCACTGCAAATTCTGCCATCGCTTCCGCGAGTTATGTGTCCAATGGATGGGTGCTGCGTTTCCAATTGCCCCTGTGATGATTCCATGGATTGCCGCGCTGATTCAGCTCTATCCTCTTCCCCCGAATGTGTCGCTGCTGTGTGCCTGCATGTGTGATGCTTTCCTGCGTGCTCACCACTGCGCGAGGCTGGGCCTGCCTGGCACGGCCCAGCAAAACTTTGAAGCTCGCCTCCGTCTGTTGACTCGGAGGCATGTGGCTGTTGCCGAGGCGTGGGTTGACCTCCGTGCAGGGCCTGGGTGGCTTGTCCCTGCTGGTGTGTCTTTGGGAGCCGAAACAGCTCTGTCTCAGAGTATGCAATGAACTTCAGGTGCAGTGTCGTCTCTGAACGCTGGCCTTTGGCTCTGGCCGCTGTACCACTGGGGAGGTGGCGCGGCATTCATCATCTGATCGTGACCCACGGACGCTGTGCGGCCAAAACCAAAGCCCTCGCAGTACCCGGTTCCGGAAATGTGGGGGCGGCGGTTGAGGCCCCGTGGCTAGTGACGCATTGGGGCGGAGACGAAATGGTGACAAGGCAAAAACACATCATCATCGTCATCATCGTGCGCATCATCATAAACATCATCACAGTCTTCGTCATGGATCTCATCACCGTCATGAACAACATCTTGAGCATCATCATCATCACCACCATCATCATCTTTTCATCATCATCATCGTCATCAGCAGCATCGGCATCACCCATTATCGTCAGGACTATCATGAACATTCTCATCCTGATCATGATCAGTCTCATCGTCGTCATCATCGCCACCATCATCATCATCATCATGCTGAACATCATCATCATCATCATCAGCTCCGCCATCATCATCATGCACATCATCATCGTCGTCAGCATCATGGACATCATTAATAACGCCATCATCGTCATCGTCAGTATCATCATCGTCATGGGCATCACCATCACAATAATCATCTACATGCACAGAATCATGAACATCATCATCACCATCTTGGTCATCATTGCCACCATCATCCTCATTATCACCGTCAGGAGCATCAGGATCATCCTAGTCATCATCGTCACCATCATCATCGCCATGAACATCCTCATCATGGTCAATACCAGCATTATCATCACCATCATCATACTCATCGTCACGAGTATCACCGTGAACATCATCAACATCGTGATTATTATTATTAATCCTATTATTATTATTATTATTTTCATCATCATCATCAACACCATCATCATCACCAACATGAACATCATCATCATCATCGTCATCATCATCATCATCTTGAGCAGCCTCATCGTCACCATCATTATGGGCATAGTCATGAGCATCGTCAAAAACCATCATCATCGTCATGCTGATCAACAACATCAGCATCGTCATGAACAACATCATGATCATCGTCGTCACCATCGTCATCACCACCATCATCATCATCCTCAGCATCTTCATCGTCACGAACATCAGCATGAACATCACCATTCAGATCATTATCTTCCGCATCCTCACGCTGATGATGATGGTGGTCATCATCATGAACACCATCATCGTCATCATCATCATCGTCACGCGCAGCATCATGAGCAACATAATCATCATCATGACCATTACCATTACCGTCCTCATCACCACCATCACCAACACTATCACCACCACCACCATCATCATCACTATCATCATCCTGATCACCATCATCATCACCATCTTTTTTTTATCATCATCATCATCATCATCATCATCATGATAATTACCATTACAATCATCATAATGAACAGCATCATCATCATTATTATCATGATCCTCATTTCCAGAAGACCGCCCTGACCTAAACAGGTATTGCCCAGGGTCGCTCTTGCGTGTATCCGTAGGCGGGTGGAGCGGCGGCGTGGCGGCAGCACGCCGCGGCACGAGGTCGGCGGGAGGGGCAGGTCCGAGGCGCCGCCGCCATGAGAGGCCACTATGACCACCCCCAGTCAGCGGAGTTCGTCGCCAGAGGGGCCCAGGGGCTGGGGACTGATCCCTGCGTCGTGAAACACAACCACGCCGGTTTCGGCAATCCTCAGCCTTTGGGGGCCCTGGGCGAACCCTGGGACCATGCAAAGCACGATTCAAGGTGAAGCAGCGGTCCGTGGCAAGGCGTCCCGACCTCTGTGGGGCCACGTGCCTTCAGAACACGACGTCGGATGCTTGGGGGCGGGGCTGGGAGAGGGGGATATCGAGGAAACGCAAGCATGTATTGATGCGCGTGGATTAGCGACGGGTCCTTTTCCCACACCATCTCGGCGCGCACCGTCGCCAAATCGGGCGGTATTGGTCCCATGCTTCGGGGATCATTTTTTTCGATCCCGTGGATATGGCGCCCGCGCGCCAGGTCCACGGATCGAACGTCCATGTTGGCGTGCGCCCCGGGAGAGGAAAGATAATGGGTCCACGGGGATTCGGAGTGGGACCCAGTCATCCGACGTCGTGTTTTTTTGTTCACCACGTGGACTCCAGAAGGTCTGGACCCCTTCCCTGGGACTTGTCGTCGCGAGGCGTTTTCTGACGGCCCCAGGGCCCGTTGAGGGCTCCCAGAGGCCTAAAATTGTCCCAAAAGCTTTCCTTGCGACTTGACCACGCGAAGATGTCGCGGCACAGCCATCGGGTGCTTCTGGCGTTGGCGTGGGGCGTGCGCGTTCCCCTCGGCCGGCCCGCGGCCTGGAAGCCCCGAGGAGGCCGCAGCTCCGCCTCGAGACCGCGGTGCGCTCGCTGGAGGTAGCAGGCGCGCCCCGGTGTAGGAGGAGGAGGACGAGGAGGAGGAGGAGGAGGAGGAGGAGGAGGAGGAGGAGGAGGAGGAGGAGGAGGAGGAGGAGGAGGAGAAGGAGCAGGAGGTAGCAGGCGCGCCCCGCTGTGAGCTTCACGCCTCTCCCTGCCTCGTGTCTCTCCTCTCCCCTCTCGCCGCTCCCAGGCGACGTCGTCGTCGTCGTCGCTGCCGCCGTCGTCGTCGTCGTCTTCCCTCCCCGTCCGTCCTCGTTCTCCTCGCCCTCTTCCCACCCCTCGTCGTCTTCGTCCTGATTCTCGTTCTCCTCGTCATCATCGTCGTCCTCGTCGTCCTCGTCGTCTAACGTCTTCTTCTCCTCCTCCTCCTCCTCCTCCTCCCTTTCGTCTTCCTCACCCTGATCCTTCTCCTCCTCTTTCGTCTCCTCCTCCTCCTTCTCCTCCTCCTCCTCCTCCCTCCTCCCTCCTCCTCCTCTCCTCCTCTTCACATAACATGCCCCTGGGGCTCTTTGGAACACTCTAGAACCAGAGCAACTCTTTAAGACTTCTCCTCCTCGATTCAATCCTCGAACCCAGAGGGGTTCGAAGAGAGAGAGCTGCCCAAGATATGTCTCACTCCCCCTCCCCCTCGTCCTCGTTCGTGTTCCTCTTTTTCTCTCTATCTCCTCTTCCTCATCGTTCGCTCGTCCTCGCCCCCCCTCCTCGCCCTCTTTCCCCCCCCCCCTCGTCCTCGTCCTCTCCCCCCTTCCGTCCCCTCGTCCTCGCCCCCTGCCCTCGCCGCCTCCGGCCGCCGTCCTGGCTCCAGTCTGGACAGACTCGCTCCACCGCCACCCCGAACAGCCCTACCCGGCGCCTGCCAGACATCCAGCACCGTGACTTTTCGCAGCGTGGACCCCCAGGAGGTCTCGACCCCTTCCCGGAACAGGCTTCTCATCCCGAGCAGCTTTCTAGGACGGTCCCCTGGGCCCGACAAGGGCCCTTCGGAGGCCGAAAAGCACTGAAGACCTCCCATCGTTTGTTGTTGTTGTTGTTGTTGTTGTTGTTGTTGTTGTTGTTGTTGTTGTTGGAGTTGTTGCTGTTGCTGTTGTTGTTGTTGTTGTTGTTGTTGTTGTTGTTGTTGTTGTTGTTGTTGTTCAGCGCGAGGATGTCGGGGTTGCCGGGGCCACTTCGGTTGCCCCTGAACTGTTCGCCATGGCCGTGGGCCGCCGCGCCCTTGGTGCTGTGCTCGCCGCCTCCGCCCTGGGCTGCCTGCTGCGCCCGGCTGCCTTCGCCGGCAGCAGCCTGGCCCCGCCGCGCCGTGCTCCGCAGTCGGGCCGCGACGGCTGTCAGGGGCAGCGTCAGGAGGGTCGAGGTTCGAGGTTCGAGGCTCGTCGGCGGCGAGGTTCGAGGTTCGAGGTTCGAGGGTCGAGGTTCGAGGTTCGAGGTTCGAGGTTCGAGGCTCGCGCTCTTCGGGCGTGCTCGTCGGGTCTCGGCGGTTTTCCAGGCCCGGGATGCCCGCCGGCGGCTGCGCCGCGCCGAGAGCGTTCCAGGGGGTGCCCGAATCGTCCCGAACGGCCGCCGGAGACCCGATTTCTGGCCTAAAGCCACCAGGGGCGTCGACCCCCAGTGGCCTACTGATCGCCGACAGGGGCCTGATCGCTCACCCCGCCCAGGACCGTGCGTTTTCTCTCGCTGTCTCCCTCTCTCTATCTATCTATCTATCTATCTATCTATCTATCTATCTATCTATCTATCTATCTATCTATCTATCTCTCTCTCTCTCTCTCTCTCTCTCTCTCTATATATATATATATATATATATATATCGGGGGCCTATCGCCGACGAGTCGGCGATGTATCGCCAGTTCTAGCTCGGTCATGGTCCTCCAGTCGTTGCTCCTCAGGCTGGCGCCTGGACCTCATCGAGATCGGGCCGAAGGGCATCGGCCAGCTCGTCGTGCACGAGGGCTACTACGTCGGGGAGAAGGCCATGTTCGAGATCCTGGCGAAGAACGGCTTCCGCTACCGCATGCGCGCCACGTCGGAGGAGATTTGAGTCGGGCCTGTTCCTCTACATGAGGAATTTTCAAAATAGTCAAAACATCGTATGGGGATGATTTGTCGAGTAGTTGTTTTCACGATTCCTGGGCATTTTTTGGTTATTTTTTATCTTTCACCCAAAATCCCCCTGTAGGAGGACAGGCCCGACACTTGAGAGGAGATGAAGAAGGGCGTCGACGTCCCGCCCATCTCCCAGATCGGCCCGCTCAAGCTCCGGCTCTCAGGAGAGAAAAAAAACACACAGACACAATTAATCCTCGATCCCCCAGGAAATATGGGAAAATATGGGAAGTGGGGGGGAAGACAGAAACCCAGAAAATATGGACAAAGATTGGGAATCATTTTATTTGTGTGTATTTATTTGTGTGTCCTGGGGCCCCTTCAGGCTCTACGAGTCCCTCGGCGGCTCCTGCCGCAAGCCGGGGCTGGTGCGCCCCGAGGGCTACCGAGGCTGCGCCGGCCTCGCGGCGTGGGACACCGACCTGCCGACGTCGAACCCCGCCCTCAAGAAGTGATATTGGAAGCCAGGTGGGCTGACCGTCACCACCCACCAAACCACCCCAACCCAACCCGAAGGCCTCAATTTGCCCTCGATTTCTAGTGGGGGGGGGTCGGGGAACATCGAACAAACACATGTGGAACCCGTACCCCCCCCCAACCCGAAATTGGGGTCTTCGGGTTGGGTTGGGGTGGTCTGGCAGGCAGTCAGACCGCCTCGCGGATGACTAGGGGGGGTGGATATCATGGCGGGGGCCATGATATTTCCCAGATTTCATGGCGCCTCTTCTTGTTTCACTACGTCCCTGGCCCCCCCCGCTGGGCCGCGCACATGCCGCCGGTCATGATTTGCACCCCCCCCCTCTTGCCCTGACCTTCCAGGAGGGCTAAAAAATAGCACCCGACGTAAAAACCTATCCCAGAGCTATTTTACGTCTTGGTTTTAGGCTGTTTCGTCTCGTTTTTTAGGTTTTTAGGTTTCCAGTGCTAAAAAATAGCTCTCTGGAAGGTCAGGGTCCCTGCCCCCCTCCGGGGTGGACAAGTGCCGCAGGCAGGTGTGCGCAGCGGCTCTTCGGGCGCCCCCCCCGCGCCCCCTCTCTGTTTTTTTTTTCCCGCACCGGGCAGCGCAGGGTACTTTTTTTCACGTGCGATCGCGCAGGAGAAAATGTGCTTGGGAAGCCAACAAACAGAGCCAGAGTTCAGCAACCCCAGCAGCGTTTTCAGAGCCAGGGCGGCGCCAGGTACTGCTCGCGCGTCCTCCGAATCATCGTCATCCTGATCGGCCTGCACCTTTGTCGTCACTATTGTCGTCGTCGCCGCATTCGTTGCCGTTGTCGTTGTCGTCGTCGTCGTCGTCGTCGTCGTCGTCGTCGTCGTCGTCGTCGTCGTCGTCGTCGTCGTAGTCGTCGTCTTCGTTATCGTGTTCTTCTTCATCGCCCTTTCCCCTACCAGTCCACCTCCTATGTACGCCTTCTCCGCTCCTCCTGGTATTCCTCATCCTCCTCGTGTTTTTTCTTCTTATTCTTCTGGTTCTTCTTACTGTTACTCTTAGTCTTAGGATTCGTATATCTATTTCTAGTTTAATTTGTGTATGCATATATATATGTATATATATATATATATCCGTATTTTCTGTATCGTTAATCTTACGGGTAATTGTCCTTATGCTCTTTATCCTCCCCCTCATGCTCCTGATACTGTTTTTCCTCCTTGTTCTCCTCGCCCCTCTTTTTTCTTACTGGTTCTCATCCTCACCCTCCCAGTCCCCTTCTCGCTGGAGATCGCCTCGACATCCAGTCAGGCATGGCGCCCCCGCCTGAGGCTTCCCCACCGAGCGACTGCTTTCGCCTCGGAGCTGGCTGCTTCCCTCTTCCCTCTCTGCGAGGCGCGCGTGCGCCGCTCGCAGAGCACACTTCGATACCACAAGCGTGCTCAGATTCGTCGCTTGGGCTTGTCCCCGCCTCCCTCATCCCTGCTCTCCCTTCCTCTACGCTCTTCTCCTCCCTCCCCCGCCCCATCCTCCCTCCCTGCAATCTCCCCCCTCCCTGCTATCCCTTCCTCTACTCTCTCCTCCCCCCCTCCCTCTCTCTTCCTCTACTCTCTCTCCTCCCTCCCCCTTCCTCCCTCTTCCCGCCCCCGTACCCCTCAGCCTCCGTCCTCCCTCTCCAATGAGCCACTCTCTGGGTCGAGATTTCCTCACAGTCTACTCGGGTATGGCACCCTTGCCTAAGACTTCCTCGCGCACACCAGAGATTTTCTCTACAGATGGACCGGGAATCCTGCTCTCTCCTCGGCGCCGTCGTCTTTCAGTGCCGACGACGACGAGGAGCAACCCTTTCGCTGAGCGTGGCCAAGTGTGCCCAGTCACTCGTGCATCTGTTTGCTTACTTGTGCTACATTCTGCAGTCTTGGAGTAGTGTATCCTGGAGTTTCGGAATCGGGCCTTGCGAAATGTCTATGTTGAATTGTCAGCATGCTTTGCAACTTGCACCGACGTGCAATCATGCAGCTACTGGTGTATGTAGTCAGTCTGTCTTATCGTTTTGCTAGATTTGTCATATATGATGGTGCTTTGCAGAGCCATGTGGCTTCCGCAGTAGTAGATACGTGGCATGTTGTTTTGTGTGGGCACCACACAGCTATCTAGATGCATTCACACATGTGAATATATATATATATATATATATATATATAGATGTATATGTCCAGTGTAAGCGATGTATGTGGCAAACTTTGTGGTGCAAGTCAATCTGTGCTGTGTGAGCTATGTTGTGTACGCTATGTGGTGCAAGTTTTTTGATGCAAACAAGTGGTTCAACGTTCGCGGCACAAGCTATGCGTTTCAAGCAATGTGGCAATGTGGTACATTATTTCTGTCTGTCTGTGTGTGCGCAGTTTTTGCGTTGCACGCTACCGTCAAGACGCTGAACCGAGAACGGCGCAGGGGCTCATTAGAGGCTCCCGTTTCCGGGCCGTTCCTTAGATCTAGGTCGGGGCATTTCTGCGTGTCCGAGACTCGCCGTGGCCAGAAAAGACCCTTCGTTCTTGATTCGGCGTTCCCCACGCCAGCACGATGGCCGTATGGGCAGCGGTTCGCTGACTTTTGGGTGGTACGCCCTCATTTGTCTGTCGCGGTGTCGTGGCTCCAGCCGTGGCGTGAGCCTGCTGCAAAGAGGACCCTAGGGGCCCCCAGGCGGCGAGCTCGAACGACAGCATTCGGTATCGCATAGAATGGGGGAGAAAGACCCCCCCCCAACAAACACGACGAGGTGCGAGCGCTGTGGTGCGGCCTGCTTGGCGCACGCTGTGTGGTGCGAACTGCAGGGTGCACTCAGCGCACGGGGCAGCCACGACGTGGCCACGGGCGGGCGCCAGGGGGAAAGCCCCGCTGCACCCACCCGGCGCGCGGGGCGGCCACGAGGCAGCCACGGCCTCGGGCGACCCGGGAGAGCACGTGGCGAACGCCCGCCACACCCGCCCAGCGCACGGGGCGGCCACGGGCAGGCGTCCGGCGAAGCCCTGCCGCACCTGTCTCTGTTCCTGCCGAAAGCTGTGCAAGCAGTTGCATTCGCTCGGCGGCGAGCGGGGGGGGGGGCGGAAATGGGGAGGAGGAGGCTTTCTCCGAAGGCGGCGGGACTTCTCAGAAGCCCTCGCGCCTTCTGAAGGCTTTTTGTGTCTTCGGGGACGGCTTAGAAGACTTCTCAGAAGGCCTGGGTACTTCCGAGCCTTGGAGAAGGCCTTCTCCTTCTCACTTCCCCCCCTCGCTCGCCGCCGATTCTTCTGAGAACGCGCATCATCCGTGGTCAGGCGGTCTTGAAATTCATGCTGGCAGGTTTGCTCTCGAAGCTTCCACTGGGACCCCAGCTCAGCCGAGCCCTACGGCTGGCACCCGCTCGGCTTTCCTGGCAACCCTTGCTGGTTTCAACTCGCCCCACGGGCACAGTCTCGAAAGTCTTTGCCAATGTATGTTCGGGGTCGCGTGGTCGTGGGGGAGCCCTGGGGCCATCTGCGGCTCTCGTGGTCATGGGATTGTCCTTCTCCTCCTCCTCCTCCTCCTCCTCCTCTTCCTTCTCCTCCTCCTCCTCCTCCTCCTGCTCCGCCTCCTCCTCCTCCTCCTCCTGCTCCTTCTCCTCCTCCTCCTCCTCCTCCTCCGTAGCCATTGTGGCGCAAGACGGGTTTCTGTTTTTTGTTTTTCTCTCTAGCCAGCTCTGCCTTCGGTCTTGCTCATATTATCGTTTGGCCGCATTCGATTGTGCAGTTGGTTGTTTATTTCGCTCTCTCATCTGATGGATGCTGCGTGTGGACAAGTGTCTTCTCTGGCAAGTCGCGTGCTGCGCTTGATTTCTACGACTGCGGGGCAACATTATTCAGGCCTCAACCAGGCGGTGTACTGTAACCGAAAGGGGCTCCCCACGGCGTCGCGACGCCGATTGCAACATATCGCCATAACTCATCAATATCTTCGGCATCACACCGAGGTGTGGGAATCGCAATTTCTCTCAGAATTGGAATCGGTACTCAAATATTCTTTTCCAGAGTTTGATGGGGTTGTCCCTATTTGTGTTCCGCGTTTTAATCAGCCCCGATCGTCACGATCTGTCTTGCGAAAGGAGGCCTCAGTGTTTGCTATGCCTTCGCCACCGGTTGTGGCTCCAGCTCCTGGGCCTGTTGTTTCGGTCCAAGGGCTATTGCAGGAGGCACAAACCGTGTACGACGGGCAGCTGGCAGCCTACAGTTCTCTGGTGGAGGACATGAGCTCCACGATCGCACTGCTCAAAGGCACCTTGGAGAGAGTGGGTGAGTCATCTCCGTCTTCTGGGACTCCTTCGGGTTCTAGGTCATCCGCAGCTTCCGCGGCTCCCTCCTCTTCGGAAGATGCATGTGCCTTCGGCGAGGAGGCACTCGAGTCGGCCAAAGCGTACACGGATGCCCAGATCCTGCAAGTGGGCCAGCGTGCGCGGGATTATGTACACCAAGCTGTTCGCGAGATGTTGAATGATTTAGCCGGCACATTTGGGAAAGTGGTTTCTGCTCGATTGCCGGCTTTGTTGAACGAGGGTATGGGGCAATCAATTGCGTCTACTATATCTGCTCAGCTACCAGAGCTGGTGGCCGGAAGCTTTGATTCCCAGATTGATGGCATCACAGAGTTCATTGCAAACAAGTTCTCGTTATTGGACGGGCGTATTGAGGAGTTGAAGGATGGGGTCTCGAGATTTGAATCTGCGTCGCCACTTTCTCAGGCTCCTTCCTCTCCGACTGCTCGCGGCCGCTCTCCTGGCGTCGCGGGAACGCCCCGCCCTGGTGCGGCAGAGTTTGCACCGCCGCTGCCGCCGCCTGCCTATCCTCCATCTCGGTTGTGCCGCTTCGGGCAAGGGTGTTTCAGGCGAAATTGCGTTTTCAGTCACCCTGATGGCCGCACTCCCCCGCCCTCTGCAGAGCGGGAGGCCCTAGGGCGCGCGGACAGCGCCACGGCTGGCTCGGACGGTCCCCCGAGGATCTCGCCGACGGCTCGCCCGATTGATTACGGCAGGTTCGAAAACCTAGCGGCGATGGAAGAGCTGGAGGAGGAGATTCAGGGGCATCTGATGGCCTCTGCCTTTCAGGGCCTTGTCCTGCCGATCCCTGAACCTGACATCGATTGAGTTGGCAACAGTGGATGTTATCTGCATTGTCTCGCTCTTCCTGTCCCTCGGCTACTCGCTCTACTCTCTTTTCCTCTCCCTGGACTTCTTGGCGGTTGAGGCTATTATGTAAGGGGCTTCCGCCTTCGCTCATTCCTCGGTGCCGAGGTGCGGATTCGCCGTGTTTGTTATGTCGCTGAGACTCCCCTTGGGCACGCTCCACCTCCTCCTCCTCCTCCTCCTCCTCCTCCTCCACCTCCTCCTCCCTCC